GAATTATGAGTCCAGCCAGTGCTTCTGGAACAGCAGCTCAGTAGTTAGTGCTGCAGTGTTGTGGGGATTCTGGGAGGTTGTAGAGTTAGTTGTGTGCCACCTACCACATCTCAAACACATTTGCCTAAGTAAACCCTTTTATCCTGATGTACTTCTCTGCCCAGAAACAGGCCAATACTCTGGCTTCTTAAACGAAGAGGAGCTTGAGCCTCAGGCAGGTGTGGTTTGACTGAGGCAACCATGCATGAGTGATGAATTCCTAGGTTTCTGATCTAGTCCCATGTTGTCCATCCCATGGTGGTATATGATCTCTCTGCCTGACTCTAGGGTGTGTATCTGTGTATGTCTGACCTGTCTCCTTCTGCCCTAGGGTGTGCTGTGCCGGACTCTTCAAGGTCATGGCCACTGGGTGAACACCATGGCACTTAGCACAGACTATGCCCTGCGCACAGGAGCCTTTGAGCCTGCTGAAGCCACAGTGAATGCCCAAGACCTAAAGGGGTCCTGTGAGTGAGAGGGGAGGGGAGAAGGCTGCCTGGGAAGGAGCCAGTTCTTCAGCCTAATGGGCAGATGTCTAACCAGTCTTGTTCTCTCCCTCTCCCTCCCCCCCACACTTGGGTACCTGGACAGTGAAGGAGCTGAAGGAGAAAGCATCAAGCCGATACAACCTTGTGCGGGTATGTACCACCAGCATGCAACCCCAGCTCAGGACTTTTTGGGGGATAGAGAGTGCGTTCCAGACAGGATTTTTCTATATAGCCCTGCTGTCCTGGAATTAATCACTTGGGCTTCTTCCTTCTAGCACCCCAGCTCATGGTTCATATCCCAAAAAGTTGTTCTCGGTCATCGTTCCTTACTATCTTCAGATCTTAAAAAGTTGGGCCTCATTTAACCTTTATTATCTTATTTATATTTCCTTGTTGTTTAAAGGACACATTTACATGATCTAAGGTTTAATAGATACAAAAAGATAATGAAACATCTTATCTTTCACACAGTCACGCATCCCTTCTGGAAGCATCCAGTGTTAACAGTATGGCAGTTCATGTACTCAGTATGCACAGAGAGTATGAGGAAAGAGTTACAAAAGGCATCCCCTTTTAGCACCATTCTGTACATTGGTTTGTATCTTAGGACTCCTTCCACCAATGTATGGAATTCCTTCTCCTTATGGGCTAACCTGTAGTTTCATGTGGGCTTGTGTCCCTTCCAGGCCTCATTTCCCTGGTTCTGTCGCTGTGTGAATAGCTAGTATCATACTGCATCCAACATGGTGTGCTTTCTTGCCCAGGGCCAAGGCCCAGAGAGGCTGGTATCTGGCTCAGACGACTTCACCTTATTCCTGTGGTCCCCAGGAGAAGACAAGAAGCCCCTCGCACGGATGACGGGACACCAGGCCCTCATCAACCAGGTGCTCTTCTCTCCTGATTCCCGAATGGTGGCCAGTGCCTCCTTTGACAAATCCATCAAGCTGTGGGATGGCAGGACGGGCAAGTGAGTACAGGGATGGGGGCTGTCCCTCGTAGCAGTGTGGAATAGCATGAGCTCGGTGTAACCACTTACTTCTTTGTAGCGTTGGTGGAGTCTGATTTCCTCAGCCCACGCCTCTCTCTGACACCTATGAACTTGGATTAGTAAGATGGAATCTTTAGGACCAGCACTAAATGTTAGGGCAGGCCAGCCACAGGGCCAGGGATGCAGCAGCAACCCTCAAAAGGGTAAGCAGTAGCTAGGTCTGTGTTGTTCCTCTTGTGTTGCCCACACCCCAGTGGCACCAGCATTTCTTGACAGAAATGCAAAATGTAGGTAGGAGTCTAGAGAGTGGCTCAGCAGCTAAGAGCGTGTACTGCTCTTGCAGAGAACCCAGGTTTAATCCCCAGCACCCACATTGTGAGGCTCACAGCCAGCCACCTCTGTCCAGCTCCAGAAGGACCCTATGTCTCTGACCTCCAGTCATGTAGTTACTTAGAAATAAAAATGCATCTCTTTTAAAAGTTAAAAATGAGATATGGTACCCTCTTCTGCCACGCAGATAGAACACTCTTATACATAAAATAAATAGATCTTTAAAAATGCAAATGAGGACTCCAGATCTTATGAATCAGAGTCTGCATTTTATAAGATCAGCTAAAGTCTGAGAGGGGGTTGTGGTGCACCAGCAATTATTGGGTTGGAAAAGCGTGTGTATGGGAGCAGAGAAGGAATTTCCGTCATTGTGTATTTTCATACAGTTCTTTGAAATGATAATTCAGTTCCTTTAGGAAACCAGGAATTACCTGCCTTTAATCCCAGCACTCAGGTGGCAGAGACAGGTGGATCTCTGTGAGTTTAAGGATAGCCTGGTCTACAGAGTGAGTTCCACAGAAACTGTCTCGAAAAATCAAAAGAAAAAAGGCCAGGAAACTTAGTCCCAGGCCTAATGGCTTATCCAGACATCACAGCTAGATGCTATTAACTTGAAAGCTCCAGCTGGGCCTGGCCCACTGTTTCTCCGTACCACCTGTCAGCTGGCACCTATTGTGTTGGAGGACACCAGGCAGATGGGCTAAGCAGGTGGCACATTGGGTTCAGACGTGCAGAGTTGCACGAGTCTGGAGGCTCAGCAGGAGGGTGCCTCAGAGCAACTTAGCAAAAGAAGTTTTACACAGTAGTAATGGCCAGTGATGATTAAAATGGTCTAGCGTGGGCCCAGGCAATGCTAACAGGTTGCCAAGGTAAAGAACCACTGTTGTGAGTATAGAGAACCTGTTGAAGATCTAATAATCTGTTGCTGGCTTCCCCTGACTCAGGTACTTGGCTTCCCTTCGTGGCCACGTGGCTGCTGTGTACCAGATTGCCTGGTCAGCAGACAGCCGGCTGCTGGTCAGTGGCAGTAGTGACAGCACACTGAAGGTGTGGGATGTGAAGGCCCAGAAACTGGCCACTGACCTGCCTGGCCATGCTGATGAGGTATGGTTGACCCCATGGGGGCTGGGATTAGCCCTCGCCCTGGCTCTTAGCCTTACCACTGCACTGTCCAACCTCTTCCTCCATTTAGGTATATGCTGTCGACTGGAGTCCAGATGGCCAGAGAGTAGCAAGCGGTGGGAAAGACAAGTGCCTCCGGATGTGAGTGGGGGTGTGGTAAAAACCGGTGTTCGGTTCTCCTGGCCTCTGCTTTGCCATGGCATGGAATTCAGAGGGGGTATCTTTGTGCTCTGGAGGGAGAGCATGGGGGGCCTGATTCTCCATGGGGGGCAGAGCTACGGGTTATAGCTTGGGGGAACCTGCAGGTCTCCACAGTGCAGCAGTAGGTTCCCCATTAGGATATCAGGCTTTGCACTTGGGCCCTGGGTTCAAATCCTAGACAGGAACAGCACCTCTCTAGACAGGAGGGTCACAGAGAACACTGACACCTAAAGCATTCTGCTTGTGGCAGCAGCAACTTGATGATTGGTGGTGGGCACTGCAGGATCACAGGGAAGGAGAGAGGTGTGTGTGTGTGTGTGTGTATGCGTGTATGCTTGTGCGCACGCGCGTGTGCGTGAAGAGCTAGAGCAGGTGCCAAGCTCTCTACAGGGCTGTAGATAGCATAAATCCCTCCCGTGACTCCCACAGATGGAGAAGGTGAAGAATTCTACAGCTTCCTGACCTTTGCCTGGACTCAGCCTCTGCCAGAGACCAAAGAATGCAGGTGGCCATCTGCCGAGGACGGTGATCTACATGTGACAGTCATCGAAGTTACAACCTGGAGCTAAGCCATGGTCACTTCTGGCTGGTACTAACAGCAGTGGGAAAAGCCAGGCCTCTGGTTTCCATGTCCTTTTTCCAAGTGTCAACTGTGCAGGCCCACACCCTCGGCTGTGTGGCCAAATAAATTTTGTGTTTGTGTTGCAGCTTCTTGTCCTAGAACCCCCATGATCAGTTGAGGACCCTGAGCAGGTCCATCTGACCTCTCCCTTGCACTGTATGACAGCAGCCCATGCACCCTAGCTTCCCATCCTGCCACTTCACAGCAAGCAAGAGAACAGTGTGATGGTAGCCATAAGAAAGGCTAAGGCTGTGCTATCTATGGTCACACTGGCCATGCACCTGTTTGCGCCAACTAAAATTACTCACATCTAGAGACATGGACTCCAGCATTAGGAAACGGTCTAGCCACTGCCTCTCCTGGCATTCTGCCTGAGGCCCTGCCACATCCCTAGCACTGTGCTAGGCCCTCAGGCTAGAGAAGGCCAGGACCATCCCAGAGGACTCACCTAGAAGGGGGGCAGTGGTGTGGGACACTAGCTGATGTGGGCATGGTATGATAAGGAACTAGGCTCTCTGAGCACCTTGAAGGAATGAAGGGTATCCCAGTATTTCAGGCCTTGACTGAGACCTTTGCGCTGCAAGAACCTGCCTTCATTTTCTCTTGCAGTAAATCATGAGCTGGGGGACTCGGCACTGCCTGTTCACAGTCTCCAGTCATCTGTGGAGGGATTTCTGCATCTGCCTGATACTGGATCCGTATGCTTCCCACCTCCATTTGGGGCTTTTAGAGTTTTGTATATCAATCAGCTTCCCCTCACACATAAGAATAGGTTTGCAGAAGGCTGGAAAAATGGCTCAGCTCTTAAGAGCACTGGGTGCTCTTCCAGACGTCCTGAGTTCAATTCCCAGCAACCCCATGGTGGCTCACAACCATCCTTAATGAGATCTGGTGCCCTCTTCTGGCCTGCAGGTGTACATGCAGGCACAACACTATACATACTTTTTTTTTTTTTTTTTAAACAAAAAAGGACTGCAGGAGAGGCACAGGGAACCACCTGTGTTTGGTGTCAGTCACTTCTGTGTCACAGTGACCCTGAGCCTATGCCTGAATGGCATCAGGAGACAGTGACCTGTTTGTGCCAAAGCTAGGATCTTAGTCTTGAATGTCAGCCTGTCCTTGTTCTCCTGTTAGATTGTTGGTTCTGACAAGAGGTCAGTATTGTGGCTCAGCTCAGGTTTATAGCAACAGGAAGCAGACTTTCAGGGTATTAGATGGGCCTTCAGTTCTTTAATGAGGGACCTGGAACCAGCCCAGGTCAGGGAGGAAGGAGGGTGCCTACCAGCTGTTGGGTAGTGGCTGAGCCTGGCCCAGCCTAAGGTGTCTCTAGGTGAATGGGGCTCATGTCTATCCTTGACCCAGACCCAAGGGTGAGGTTCTAGTGCGTCTGCCCCAGGTCCTTAGCTGACAGGGTAACTAGCGGGTTCTTTGGCTTGGTGCTTAGTGGTACAGTACATCTCACAGTTATGGTTCCTGAGGACCCAGGGCCAAGGCTGACAGTGGGCAAGGTATAACCTCGACCCACGCCTAATATGGATATAGGTATTCCAGATCCTCCAGCCTCCGCATCTCCTCCATTGCCATGGACACGGTTTTCCTCTGGGGTTGTTTGCGCTGCACAGTGACCTGGATGGGATTGTTCTCAGGAAAGCTGTTGAAGTCAGTAGGTACAGTTGCAAACTGAAATAAAACAAGCACCCTCAGGATGCCCTCCCAGGCCAGAGTCTGGCTCTTCACACGCATCTCCATCACCCTCTTGCTGCTAAATGACACCTTAGTCTCATGCAACACAGTCATTGTGGGATTCTCTCTACTCTAGGCCCCTGACAACCTGCGAGCTGTTCCTTTTGGTCTCTTCCCGTTTTTCTCCTCAATTCCTGGTCCGTTCACATTTAATAGAATTGAGGTATATGAGAATTCATGTCTTTGGAAATGGACCCTGTGGCAATAGTACTACAATTATCAGTTTGCATTTCTAATGGGCCCTGAATAACTTAACCCCTAAACCTGCCAGAAGACAGCAATCTGGAATTAATGCTTGTGGGCCCAGGCATAAGCAAGCAAGGACATGGGGGTGGAAGGTGAGGAGGGGTTGTCCAGCCTTCTCTTTGGTCTCCCGCTTGTACTTTCTGAGCTATCTGAGCCCATGGTTCTATCCTTTGACACCTTAACTGTCTGGGTCGGACTTCTCTCCCTCGCTCTGGGCCTTTCTGCTGCCAGGACTTACTTTGTAGGGTTTGCACCACTTCCCCACCCCGGCTGTGTTGGCCGCACGGACAGTGAGGCAGTAACTCGTGTTCGGCTTCAGCTCCATCAGCTTGACGGTGGTACCCAGGATCTTGTTGAAGATCCAAGGGCGGTTCTTGATCTTGGGCATCTCCTTGTCACTCTGCTTGGTTGACTCCTGCAGCAGGACCTGGTAGAAACTGACCTGCTGCTTGCCCACAGTGTAAGTCCAGGAAATCTAGGGGAAGAGAGAGCCCAGGCCTCCTCAGGTCTGGCCTGGCCCTCAGGGATAGGTCACAGTGGCACTTCCATTCCTGTTCCAGGCCTGGAAGAAAGTGCAACCAGCACATGCCCAGCAGCCCCGGGAAAGGGAGGAGCTCCACCAGAGGGCGCTCTTTATCCCACAGACCTACTAAATGGTCAGGTCAGCTGAAAGCCACCTATGGAAACCATCTTTTCCACCTGCAGAGAGTGTCACACAGCAACTAAACGACAGACTAGAAGCCTGACTCAACAGCTGAGACTTAACCATATTGTTTCCATTGCCTGGAATTATTTAAACAACGAACATTAGCAGACCTCCTTCAAACCCTATAGGAATGGAGCCTGGTAGTCTAGATATTGACAAAGTGGCCTGTAGGAGCATGACAGTCCGTAGTCCGTGGTTAGAAGCTGTGACACACTGAGGCTGCTACTCACTTCTACACTTTCCAGTTCCAGCCATTGCTCAGCTGGAAGTAAGCTTTCTCTCTGAACCCCTGAGAAACTCTAAGTCTCCTCTGCATTGAGCAGGGAAGCAGTGAGCTCATTTCACCTTGCACTAAAGCTCCATAGACACCACTGTCCTCCTTCCCTAAACCATTAACTTGAAGTCCGAATGCAGTGGTGAGGCCTTCAAGCTCCCCACACACCCCCACACGGTAAGCCTTGCCAAGAGAAAAACATACCACAGCTGTGGAATCGCCAACAGTGTGTTCACAGATGAAGGGGGCATCTGGCACATCCATGACCACAGAAGACTCAGAGCGTGTTGAGGAGGTGTCTGTGTCCAGTGCAGGGTTGTCAAGGTCCAACAGGCTTCTGGGGGCCATATGGCCCTTAGGTGAGAGGGGACAGATGGCCAGATTCTCTTTTTCTGTGTTCTTGGATAGTGACGATAAACTGAGTTTGTTTAGCTCACCCTCCAGCATCCCTGCAAAGAAGCTGCTGTTGGGCTGAGTCACGGCCAGTTTGACGGGGTTCAACAGAGTGGATGATCTGGGGGACATACTAGTGTCATCTGAGCTGAATTCCGAATCTTCCACTGGCATCTGCTTCCTGGAGTGGGAAGGATATGGATATCAGATGAAGGATATCCCAATCCATCCAGCCTGAGGAACCCTGGACACATGGCTTAGGGGTTCACTTTACCAGCATAACCAACTGTGGAGTAGCTTGGAACACACTACAGGTAAAACTAATAGTCTATATTATGTGTAACATGTATATTGGAGGGATGCTCTTGTTCTCCTGGGTGTAGTGGCACAAACATGTAATCCTAGCACTCAGGATTACTGAAACTGTAAGCAAGCCCACAGTTAAATGCTTTCTTCTATAAGCTTAAAGTAACTAAGACATCCCCCATTCTTATGTTACCAAGAGTAATATATTACACTTTTATTTGTTCTCATCCAACTTCAGAAATTAAGGCATATTGACATTACTAAAACCCCTGAATGCTTCTCTTCCACCACATATCATCTGGTATGTTATTCACTATGTGTTGTCGTCGTCGTAGGCTTGCTGCATATATATATATATATATCCAAGGCAAGACATATTACTTTACATGTCTTTAGACTATGTGTAAATAAGCGGCATCATCCAGCACATGCCTATCCAAAACTTGGGTTTTGCTCTGTGTTGTGTTTTGATTGGTCTGTGCTGATACATGTAGCAGAGGCTTCAGCCATTTTGTCTATCTCATGCTCTTTTGTGACATGAATATTTGTTACTTTTAACTTATTTTTATGTGTGTTGATGATACCACATGCATGTATGTAGAAGACAGATGGCACTGGTTCTCTGGAACTACAGCTACAGATAGTTGTGACTTCATGTGGATGCTGGGAAGACCAGCCAATGCAATGAAGTACTGAACCATCTCTCTAGTCCCTGGATGGATGTGTGTATTGTTGCTGTTCTTTGCTATTAGAAAGAAAATGATGACTCTGCATTGTCTTGCTGATGAAATGCACCAGTCCAAAAAGAATAGCTTTCAAATCCTTAAAAACAACAGCTTTGACCCATCGGTACATGCAACTCAAAGTAAACATCACAGACTGACCCTTCCCCTGTGATGTGCTCTGGGACTTCTGATTCTCTGTCTAATCATTATTACCATTCTGGTTTCTACCAGCTAAGATTTCCTGGCCCGTAAAGAGGACCCAATCTAAATTAGTCTGGTGGTTCAGATTCCACCTGCTGTTTGCTTCCTGGGCCATATGAAACTCCCTCTCTGGGCTCTAACCCACCAACCTCCTGATAAATCTGGATTGGTCAGGAACATCCAGCCCTCATCCCAACACTAGTCCTTGAAGGACATTTGGGGCAGATGTTGTTTTTCTTTAAGTTCTGTATTTGTAGGCTGAAGTGTCAGGATGCACACACCTTTTAACCCAGCACTCAGAAGGCAGAGCCAGGTGAGTCTCATGAGTTCGAGGCCAGCCTGTTCTACAGAGTGAGTTCCAGGACAGCCAAAGCTACACAGAGAAACTCTGTCTCAAACAGACAACAACAAAACAGAGTTCCCTACTGGAAATGCTGGTGCAAAAGGGTCCTAGAAGGCTGCTTGCTGTACACACCTCTTTCCTGACTTCTACAGCAGCCCTGAGGATGGGTGTTAGCCTGGGAACTTGGCTGAGACCATATACCTAAGGGGTAGAACTTGGATTTGGACTCAGGACTCCTTGCCTTAGATAACCCCCCCCCCCAATAAATCATGAGGTTTCCTACAAACAATGGTCATTTTAGGCAGGCCATGCTAGCTAATGGTGACCCCTGATGATGAATGCATACCTCTCTCTAAACCAGGATATGGTCTGTGGATCCCAGTGAAAACTAAAGTAGGGAACTTTTTTATGAGAAATTATTATGAAGGATTTCAAGACTGGAGCTGGAGAGATGGCTCAGTGGTTAAGAGCACTGGTTGCTCTTGTAGAGGACCTGAGTTCATTGCCAGCGCTTATGTGGTGGCTCAAGATGGTGACAGCATAACATTAAACTAAGCCCAGGGCCCGTTCATGAGTCACCATGATTGAAACTGTGTACTGTTCCCTCAGTCATCACCTTCTCTAGGAGGTCTCCCTTTCACTTTGTCCCAAGCTATACTAAGCCCTCTGAAATCCCCTCTGGTTTCTCATGGTGCTCTGTGATAGCATTTACCAGGCTGTGCTGTACCAACCCTCTTTACTGCCTGGTCCCCCACAACCAACAACACTCACAGTAGACCTGGTGTTCTTTGCAGGCAGGGACTATGCTTCCCAGCTTTGCATTACCAACTTAACACAAGGTTCTATTTATCACTGAGAGGAAAAGAATTTAGTGGCATGAAGTAGAGGAAACCCTCTACTTACTAAGAGGGCCAGTGGGTCTCAGCTGGATGGTAGGCAAGGACAATCCAGTGGGAGAAATTAAGGGGGAAAGTCTGGGATGGGTCAGAGTGCTGGTGGTGAGCACCTAGCAGAACAAGGGAGCACCGTATGTAACCAATCCAGAAAGGTCTCCTAGAGATGGCAGCCTGCATGCGCTCAGAACAGATATGGGGTGCAGGGCATGTGGGGAACCTGCTGTCTTGCTCTTCCCTGAGGGCCCCCAATGTGGGCTGCACAGCTTCCCCAGCCTTTGGAAGGAGGACCCAGAATTGTATCTTACATGGCATTGGTGGTGTCTTCCTTTAAGCAGTTGACCAAGCTGTGTTTTGAGGAAAGCGGGAGGCCTTTGGTAGCCATGGACCGGTTCATAAACTTGGGGTTTGGACAGGGCTTCGGCAGTTGGTCAACCACATTTATAACATTGAGGGGTTTCTTCTTCTTCTGTACAGCCTCCTCCCCATCCCCCACTTTACAGAGCACCTCTGTTGCCATCTGGTGTGGGTGGGACCAGAGCCTTCACCACCGTGCAGGACAACCAACTGGCAGAGAGCAGAGAGAAACTGAGGCAAAAGTCCCACCCTTAGTTTGGGTGGGATGGGTGTCCAATGAGCTGACTTCACAATCATCACAAGGTGTAACAATTAGGGGCCAGTCTCCCCTTGATGTGAGGTTTGCTGTGCAGCCAGACAGACCAAAAGCCTGTGTCAGCAGTGGGGTAGAGCCAAGAAACAGACTTCATGGCTCCTTCCAGCATACACGGCCCTTTCTAGGCACATTTGTGGCCACAGCTGCTCTGTCTCCTGTGCCCTTTAAAGCTGTCCCGGAAGGAGGAGCAGGCTAGTGACAGAAAAACACCACCTGGGCTGAGCCACAAAGCCTTTAAAGAGGATGGCTTTGCCTACTGATGCTAAGGCTCTCTGTTCTGACATCTAAGCTGGAAATCTCAGTGTGGCCAGTAGCACAGGCACAGTGAAAGATTCCTGTGGGTTGCAGCTCACAGAGAAGCTGACTTTAGTGCTAGAATTCCAAATACCCTGAAAAAAGACACAGTATTGAACATGGGGAAATATTTCTCAAAACGGGCCAGACTTCTCTACATAGAGAGAGCCCAAGGTAGAAAGTGCACCCACAACTTCCGGGGAGGGGAGAGAGCAAGTCCAGTAACACTGGCTTTGCAGTTGGATGTGGACTTGAGATTCAATTCTGTGCCTACTAGCTGTGTAACTCAGAATAAATGTCTTACTGAACCCCAATTCCTTCAACTACAAGATACAAAGAAAAACAGAACCTCGTTCATAGGTTTGTGAAACTGCTTTATTTCTTCCACTGGATGTGGTAAAGGACATTTCAAAATAGTAAGCTATGTTTTATATGCTCCAAATACTCAGGCATTTACTCCCATTAAAATCTTTGGGAAATGTCTGGTGGTGGTATACATCTTTATTCCCAACACTCAGGAGGTGCCCAACCATGGATGCACAGATAAATCATGTATCGAGAAATAAAAAACCTTCAGAAAATATGGGGCTAGAGAAATGGCTTAGCAGTTAGGAGCACTGGATGTTCTAGAGGACCAGGGTTCATAACACAGTACCTACAAGGTGGCTTACAACTATCTGTAACTCAAGTCCAAGGGTATCAGACCCCCCCTCTTCTGGCCTCCTTGGGCACCAGTCATACAAGAGGTACACAGACATGCAGGCAAAACACCTATATACATAAGTTAAAGTTTAAAATAATCTTTTTTAAAATACAGGGGTGCAGGTGCCCTCTGTGAACTTCCCTGGACCATACAATCTGTAATGATGCGAACTGATTCCTTCCTGTTGTCTGTCTCCCTAACATGAATGCTACTAGAAGGCAGGTATACTTCATTCAGTAAGTAGGGTAAGTTTATCCTTAGCATTGAGAACAGGATGGGGTAGGGGTGCGGGTTGGGGGTGGGTGGGGTGGGTGGAGAGTGGGGAGGGTGGGGATGGTAGAAGTGGGAGAGAGAGGAGCGTATGAAGTCTCAAGACTGCCGCGTTTGCTCGCTTGGTCGGCAGGTGGCGCTGCAGGCCTGGGCCACAAAAGACGCTCCAGTTGCGGAACCCGGAAGCGTCCGCCGGGAGGGGGCGGGTCCAGGGCGCTGGAGTCCTTTGAGTCTGGGAGGGCTGGTGTCCCTCACCCCAACCCGCATCCTCTTCCCGCCCCTCCCGCGTTGGCGCACCAGGATCCTTTCCAGAAGTGGAACCCAGGGACGCCAGAGTGGGGTTCTTGGTGGGCGCCCACGTGACAGCCCCCGGGGCGCCCCGGGTTTGCAGGGAACATGGGCGTCCTCAGGGTAGGGCTGTGCCCTGGCCTCACCGAGGAGACCGTCCAGCTTCTGAAGGGCCAAAGGATCAAGACAGGTGACCTCGTGGGCTCGTAGCACACCACATGGGCACGACCGCAGGGTCGGCGCCATGGTCTTGGCACACGTGCGGGGCGCTTTGCTCTAACCAGAGGCCACACTTTGAACTCTTGGGGAGACTGGGCTCTCAGGAGCCAAAATAGAGACAGAGGACTCAGCTGTGTGCTGGGCTCCTGGCCAGGTCCTGCACCAGTGCCTGTGTGCTTGAGATAGGGAGTAAACTAAGACCTTAACGCCATTTCCCAACAGAAGAAAGGCAAGCATAGCAAAGCTAAGACATTCCTGTTGCTAATCGGTTGCATTTGGTCTCTTTCCAGTGGCGGACCTGGCAGCTGCTAACCTAGAGGAGGTAGCCCAAAAGTGTGGTTTGTCCTACAAGGTGAGCTTACGATGTGCAAACTCCATCCCAACGTATCTTCTAGAGCGGGTCCCCAAGCTGCAGGATTAGCGTTCCTGGAAGTTGCTAAGGAGGGCCTTAGACCTGAATTCCTCTGCTGGCCAAGCTGGTCGCTGGGCAGTCTGGGTGCTCAGGAGCCTGAGTTTCCATCCTATTGGCAGGGCCTGGTTGCCCTGAGGAGGGTATTGCTGGCACAGTTCTCGGCTTTCCCATTAAATGGAGCAGACCTATATGAGGAACTGAAGACTTCTACGGCCATCCTGTCCACCGGCATTGGAAGGTTTGTATGCTTACCTGGACAAGAACGTGTAAGTCGAGCTTCCCATGCTGAGACCTCGAAGGGCAGGACTGGTGGGGGCAATCTGGAGATGTGAGGGAACCTAGAGGCATCAGGACCCCGGAGTTTTTGTTTGTTTTGTTTTGTTTTTCCTAGAATAGAATGACAGGGGTTCTTAGCCTCAACACTATTGATACCTAAGGGGCAAGTAATTGTTTGCTGGGATAGGGATATCCTGTGCATTTAGCAGCATCCCTGGGCTCTACCCACCAGATACCAGGTTCATTTCTCCTGCCCTGTCGTGACAGTCAAAAATGTGTCCGGATATGGCTGGGTATCACCTGGTAGCTAGCATTTCATGGGGGAGAGCCACTGTCCTATAACACAAGATGCCATTTTAAAAATAATTTATCTTTTAAGTTCCATTTTGCATTCCAACATTACTTCTCCCTCCTACCCCTCCTCCCACCCCACCCCCAATATCCCAATTTTCCGTAGAGTCCCTGATACTTCAGGATAAGGCAAGTGGGACCAGGGCAGGATTGAGAGTTCCTGGGAGTCTGCACCTAAAGTCTGACCCTAGCCCAGTGGTTCTCATCCTTCCTAATGCTGTGACCCTTTAATACAGTTCCTCGTGTTGTGGTGACCCCCCACCCATACAATTATTTTTGTTGCTACCTCATAACTGTAAGTTTGCTATTGTTATGAATTCTAATGTAAATATCTGATATGTGACCCCTGTGAAAGGATTGTTCAATTTCCCAGAAGGGTCAGAACTCTCGGATTGAGAACCACTGCCATAGGCTCTAGATATTGAGAGATTGTTGACCTCCTTTGTGGTTAGCCTGGGGGGGGGCAGCAGAAGTGAGCCCAGGGATGTTTAACCCACAACCTGATACCTTTGCTGTAGGAGGCAGCAGCCAGGAATGTGTACACTCCCTGAAAAGAGCAGTTACATTGTGCCCTGTTGTTCGGGTTGGGAAAGAATTGGAAGACAACTGGCATTTTCTGGCCAAGTGAGCCTGACCTCTCTCCTGGCCTGTTTGTGCGGAGTTTGATGAATAACACTGCCATCACAAAGGTCTTTGGATTGATCTGGCCCTTGCTGTTTCCATAACACATTCTCTTGGCAAGGTCCACACAGTGTGGTGCTTGCTTTCACTGGTTGGGGGCCTGTGTTTGTAATCCATCAAACATTGGCTGAGTGCCTACTGGGTGCCAGATACATGCAGAGACAAGGCTCCCACTCTTAAGTGTGGTGGTTAGTGTATATAGGAGACTCGTGAGTGCAGCAAGGAGGCTTTGGAGCCCAGGGAACTTATAAAACCAGCATCCACGAAGGAACAATGAGAAGGTATACTGGCAGGGTTGCAGCTGCAGTCATCATGGGTGGGGGCATGGGCTCAGGGTGGCATAGGTAGCCTTGGCATTGGCAGACCAACCACTGAGCTTGGCCTGAATGCTCACCTTGACTCTGACACTGTGCTCAGCATTTCATGGCATGCATTTCATTTGTCCTTCATAACCTCTAATGAGAGTTCACTGCCCTTGAAATCATCGATGTGTATGTGAAGAAACAGGGACTCAGGTCCAGGCGTTGGCTCAAGATCCTACTGCTACTAGATGGTAGGTAGAATGGTCGCTGGAGGGCATGTCTAAGAACTTGATTCTGGCTGGACTATTTTCACAGTGAGAGGCCATTGTGAAAGCATTTGTAGGCCAAGGGGTGGAGATGTGCAGGATGGATAGGCTGGCCAGAAGTGGTTCATCAGGGATGATCTAGTGGTGTTGGTATGGGTTGTGTGAATCTGGTCCAAGGTTTGTGACAGTGGAAGACATATTGAAGGAGAGATGTGACTAGAGACCTACTCTGGGGGGGGGGTACTAGAGAGTCAAAGGTGATTTGCTAGGTTTTTAGACTTTCCTACAGTGTGCTGTGCCTACATAGTGGATGCAACCTGAAACTTGGGAGGCAAGTCAAAGTTAGTGAAATGTGTGATTAACCGTTATTATCATATTAAAACTGTTACTATCTTATTAAACTGTTAAGCAGGGCCCTTTGTTGTGAGTCTTGAAATGCTGAGGTGCAGTATAAACCTCTGCAGGGCAGTAGAGCTCACTCTGGGAAATGCTGTCAGAGGGGGGGAGATTGGTTATGCCTTACAAGCCAGAGCTTTTGTCTGTTCATCTCTGTGGGGATGAGATCTACAAGAAATGTAAGGCAAACTGTCTGAATGACTGGAGAATTGCTGGTGGGAAGTGGGGAAGGTGGGGAGAAAGCCTGCATTGTAGGCAGCACTGATTGGAGTCCTTCCACATATATTGATATGCTCAGAGGTAATGGGATATGACAGTAGGGGCCCCATTCCAGAGGCAGTGGGAGGAGTCAGGGATAGAAACATGGGGGGCAGGGAATTGTCCAGGAGGTAGATTTGGAAGAACCCCACAGGTGAAGCCTTGTAGCCCAGGACATGGTGGATTCTTTTTTTCTTTTCCCTTTCTTCCTTCCTTCCTTCCTTCCTTCCTTCCTTCCTTTCTTTCTTTCTTTTTTTCTTTTTTTCTTTCTTTATTTCTTTCTTTTTTTTTTTTTTTTTTTTTTTTTTTTTGAGACAGGATTACTTTGTACTTTGTATTGTTTTGGAGCCTGTCCTGGAACTCACTTTGTAGCCCAGGCTGGCCTCAAACTCACAAAGATCCACCTGCCTCTGCCTCCAAGTGCTGGGATTAAAGGCATGAGCCCCCACCCAGCTGTTTTGTTCTATAAGATTTTATTTCAGCTGGGCATGATGGTGCATGCTTTTAATCCCAGCACTTGGGAGACAGAGGCAGGTGGATCTCTGTGAGTTCTGGGTCAGCCTGGTCTACAGACTGAATCCCAGGACAGCCAGAGCTGCACAGAGAAACCTTGTCCCAAAAAAACAAAAATCAATAAATGCACACCACCATATCTAGCTTTTTTCTTTTTTAAATGTTATTTTAGTTTAATAACTATATATATTAATAACTATATATGTATGTATATGTATCTCTGTGGGTGTGTGTGTGTGCGTGTATGTGTGTGCTTCCAAGAGTGCGCCTCTGTATGCAGGGGCCTATGGAGACCAGAGGTGTCAGATGCCCTGGGTGGTTGTGAGCCAACTGCTCAGCCACCTCTCCAGCCCTTCACACAGCTTTCTTTTTTTCTTTTTTAATTTATTTACTTTTATTATGTGCATTGACATTTTGCCTGCATGCATGTCTGTGTGAGAGTGACATATCTTAAAGTTACAGACGGTTGTGAGCTGCCATGTAGGTTCTAGGAATTGAACCCCAGTCCTCTGAAAGAGTAGTCAGTGCTCTTAACAGCTGCACCATCTCTCCAGCCCCAGTTATTTTAGTAGGTTCTTTGGCTCAAACTAAGGTCCTCATGCTTGGAAGGCAAGCACTTTTATTGACTGAGCCATCATGCCAGTTCAACCTGGATGGAGTTCTTGAACTCTGTTCAGAATCTAACTTCTAGAGTCTCCGATTGTGTGGCTGATGCTGTTGGTCTGGGGTCCCCTGAGAAGACACACCAAGAGGAGCTGCTGTGATGGACCTGGGCTTCTGGTGTCTCAGGGAGAATGGGATTCAGAAGCAGAGGCTAGAGATCTATTAAGTAGAAGCTCATTAAACGCACCCAGGGTGTGCACAAGCCAGGGAGCCACAGTAGGGACCTGTGGTCCCTGGAGTTAAAACAGGTGGAGTAGTGACTGGTCGCTGCTTGCCTTGTGCTGATAGGTCATGGTTGGTCATCAAGAACCTCATTCAGAGGCCTGCAGACTGTGACTATTATTGCCAAGTTAGGAGGGGAGATGCATGACAGTCAGGCTGACTCACAAAAACTTCAGCCCCCGTCCCAGGCAGCGCATGGAGGGTAGTAAGTTGTTTCATGGTGGTTTGGGAGCAGAGCTCGGCTTAGGAAGTGGCCATGTTTTGAGGTTCATCTCAAGGGTTCTACAGCCAGAGTTTTGACAGTCGAGCCACTGTTCCTTTCTTTTCTTCAGTGACCCTCACTGTGTGCCTTCGGGGTTTGCGGCTCTGTGCAAATACTGGAGACATACTAGGGATGAAGACCCAGCCTTTGCTCCCGGGGTGTTCCTACCAGATGAGGGAGACAGACAAAGACAAGCAAATAAGAAATAATTACAAACTCCCAGAACTAATAATCGAGTTTAGCAAGGTCTGGGAATGCAAGATCAACACGTAAAAAATCAATTGCATTTCTGTGAACTCACAATGAACATGTGAAAACTGAAATTAAAAATGTAATGCCATTTGCTGTCACATCTAAGGAAATGAAATACACAGGTCTAAGTCTGACAAAGCCCATGTAGAATTTGTATGCTGAAAATGAAAAATGCTGATGAAGATCAGAGGTGACCCAAATAAATGGAGAGACTTTCCGTGTTCATGGATTACAAGATTCTACATCAGTGAATGCCAACAGTCCCTGACCTCCTTCCCGACCTGCCACCCGTACTAGAGATTGAACTCAGGGCTTTGCATATAATAAGCAAGTACTCTACCATTAAGCTGTCTTCCCAAATGTGTGTGTGTGTGTTTTAAGGTCTCTTGTTGCCATTGACCTCACTGAGGCCTGCCTTTGCCTCTCTGATGCTGGGATTAAAGGCATCTGTCACTATGCCCAGCTTACTTCCCAAATTTGCGGATTTAATACAGCTTCTTCTCTGCTTTCTTTTCCCACCGCCCGTTCTCTCCCTTCCACCATCAGCCTGGACAAACTACTTGATCCTGGCCTCTATACCGGAGAGGTGACTGAAATTGTAGGAGGCCCAGGTAGCGGAAAAACCCAGGTACCCTTGGGGCCAACAGAGGGGAGGTGGGTGCATTGCCCTGGACTCCTTGGGGAGTTTTTGCAGGTGTCCCTGTGGGTTGCAAGGTCAGAACAGACCGGGTAGGGGCTAAGAATGAGTATGGCCTTGGCCAGCGTATGTTGTTGGAATCTGGGCAGGATGCAGTGGGGAAGCTCCCTGGTGGTCCTCCTTCTTCTCCAAGGGCTTAGTTTACTAAGTGCCCTCTCTTGTCTCTGAAGGTATGTCTCTGTGTGGCTGCGAATGTGGCCCACGGCCTGCAGCAGAATGTACTGTATGTGGATTCCAGTGGAGGAATGACAGCATCCCGCCTCCTCCAGCTACTGCAGGCTAGAACCGGAGATGAGGAGAAACAGGTAGGGGGCAAGATGGCTGGGTTCCTTTAAAATTTCGATGCTGAAAGAGTTCATGACTCTACATTGTAAGAATATACACCACCTGTGAGAATCATCATTTTTTGCTTTGAAACTGGAGAGTTCTCTGCATTCCTAGAGCTGCTCATATTAATGTCATCATCCCAGCTTGGATGCCACCCACACTGATTCTCCAGGAACTTCCAAGTCCTCAAGTACTGTAAATCAGAGCCAGCAAAGACCTGCATCTGCGTTTCCAGCCCATTTCTTGCCAGGGCAGGCATCACTAATCAATGATATCTGTCCTTCCTGCTGGATCCTGAATGCCTTATGGCTCAGCACGCAGGTAGTCACCACTGTGAGATGCAGCCCATTAGGCAAGATCCATTTCCCACCTTGGATGCCAGCACTGTGTCTAAGTGCCTCTTTGCCTTTGCAGCTTTGTGATTACGTTTACCGCTCTCTGGGATTCCCCTCTCCAAGTCCCTGCTTCTCTTTCCCACCCTGCAGGCAGGTGCTCTCCAGAGGATACAGGTGGTGCATGTATTTGACATCTTCCAGATGCTGGATCTGCTGCAGGACCTTCGGGGCACCATGGCCCAGCAGGTGAGCCTGCCCATGTATCTGCCTGTTTTTGCTTCACCCAGCTGGCCAGGTGTTCTCTGTATTGGGGCAGGTGTCCTACAGACTCTATTTGGAATGCATGTGTCCAATATAACAGCTCTAGCTGTGTTTGCGCCCCCCCCCAGGTGGAATTCCTTGGTGCTTAATTCATAATTCATGTGCTTCATTGTTTACAGGGCTCACCAGCCCTATTCAACAGTGAGCTCCTTGAGTACAGGATTATATTGTCTTCATCTCTGCATTACTCACTGAAATCAATTCGGAAAACTGTGTGTGTGTGTGTGTGTGTGTGTGTGTGTGTGTGTGTAAGAGAGGTGGGGGTGGTCTCACTATGTAGCCTGGCTGGTTGGGAATTTACAGAGATCTCCCGCCCTGTCTTTTGAGTGCTGAGATTAAAGGTATGCTTCACCACATCTGGCTAAACGACTTGACTCTTGAGACAATCTGATTGTCTTTTGTGAGGCTGGAGCATCACAAAAGGCACTGAGTCCTTGGTCTGATTGATTCTCCAGCTCTTTGCCTCAAAAGTGACTGTTGTAGCCCCAAGCATTTTGTACACAGATGCGTGTGCTCCATATTCAAACCAGTAAGTGATAGAAGATTTATTTTAATATTATCTCTTCCCTTTTATTAAGAAGAAAAATGCAGTGGGGCGGTGATGGCACACAACTTTAATCCCAGCACTCGGGTGGCAGAAGCAGGTAGATCTCTGAGTTTGAGGCCAGCCTGGTCTACACATCGAGTTCTAGGACAGCCCACCCTCACTGATGTCAGGAGATTTCTACCCAGTACCTAACATGTTCAGACTAATATTTATAAGGAAGGGAGAAGGATATTTTCAATGGTACTTGGCTTTTTCTTTTTCTTCCTTTTTTTTAGGTTTTAAAATTGTATTCTATGTGTATGAATATATAGGCATGCATGGTTTGCTTGCCTGGTGCCATTGGAGGCAAGAAGAGGACATTGAATTCCCCTAGAACTTAGTTACAGAAGGTTGCCAGCCATCTTGTGGGTGCTGGGAATCAAACCCAGGTCCTGGGGAAAAGCAGCAAAGGGCTTGCAATACCATTTAGCTAAACAGGGCTAAAGAGGGCATAAGCTGGTTGGTTTTAACTTCTGGCATTTCTGCTAAGAGTCAGAGGCAGGAAGATTGATGCACAGGTCCAGACTGGAATTGAGACACACAAAAGGCAGAGCAGAAATGCCAAATAGCCAAGGCTTGGCCAATGGAAACAATACATGTAGCAGAATGGGGATCTGAGAAGTAAGGGACAGAAGAAAGGAAGCGTGGAAGATAGTTTAGATCCACAGGTGATGCTAGGACCACGCTCACGTATGTAAAGACACCAGATTATGGTCTGAGATATGACATCAGGCTCCTAGAGAAACACCTGACTTTATTTGTTGATTGTTTTTCCAGACAGGGTTTCTCTCTGTAGCCCTGGCTGTCCTGTAGACCATGCTGGCCTCGAACATAGAGATCCACCTGTCTCAGCCTCTCAAGCCCTGGGATTTAAGGGCATGCGCCACTACTGCCTGGCTGAAACAGCTGCCTTTATTTGGAACAATGGGAGGGGACCACTTAGGAGGTAAAAATCTAGGAGCTGGAAACATGAAGACTAGGGGGCTGAAGATGTAGCTCAAGTGAAATGCTTCCCCAGTGTGCTCAGGCCCTGGGTTCCTTAGTGGAGAGCTAACTCTTTAGCAAATGAAGCTTGGGAATTTGAAGTGAAAGTTAGTAGCAGTAAGGGCATTCAGAAGAGGAGAAAGGGCTAACATCAGGCTGGGTGTGAGGAGATTGCCACTGGAGTCTGCATGCGGGTCCTGAATGGAGGGTCTGTGGTGTCCTAAGACTTCAACCCTCTTGGACTCAGTGGGGCCCATTGTGCTCATGAATGGGTGCTTCAGTGAGGCCTGCAGAGCCCTATTTGGGCAGGAAAGGTTGCTGATGACCGACGTCTTTTAAGGAGAATCTGAGGAGTAAACTTGATTTTTTAAATTGTGTGTGTATGTACACACATGCACAACTGTGAACACATACATGATGCCCTGTGTGTGTGTGTGTGTTGGGGGCGGTCAGAAAGGCCAGCTCTGTGGCATTGGTTCTCTCCTTCCACCTTTACTTGGGTTCCAGGGATCAAACAAGTCACTTCTGTTAGCACTCTGGCCTCCACCTTCTACTAAAGGAGCTTGCCCCGGGCGTCCCTAGCTGTCACTGGTTCATCACTGCTTTTCCACCCCTATAGGCGACATCGTCTTCAGGCACTGTGAAGGTGGTGATCGTGGACTCTGTCACTGCAGTGGTCGCCCCACTTCTGGGAGGTCAGCAGAGGGAAGGTAAGGAGCAAAGGGGAACCTGGGAACAAGGTGGGGACTTCACCTCCAGGCCCTGGCCTTTTGCCCTCTGCTGCCTCTCCTGTTTGCTCCTCCTCCAGGCCTGGCCTTGATGATGCAGCTGGCCCGAGAGCTCAAGACCCTGGCCCGGGACCTCGCTGTGGCAGTGGTGGTAAGAAGGCTTTTCCTATGAACACAGTTTCTGGTCCTGGCTGGCTCTCTGTTTGTCTTAAATGTCAGCTCGGAACTATAATAACCCTTAAGGAAAAGGACAGAGCTCAGAGGTCAGCTTCCACAGGTCAAAGAAGTGTTTGGACCGTGAATAGCTACAGGGATTAGGGATTATCTTGGTTTGGTGTGTGTGTGTATGTGGGGTCTTCTGTTTGTTTGTTTGGTTGGTTGGTTTTTCAAGACGGGGTTTCTTTGCGTAGCCTTGACTGTCCTGGAACTTGTTCTATAGACCAGGCTGGCCTCAAACCCAGAGATCCACCTGTCTCTGCCTCCTCTTGCTGGGATTAAAGGCAAGGGCTACCGCCAGTTGGCTCTTGTCCTGTGTTTTCTATACTTGATGTCATTGTTATTTGTGTATGTATGTTCATGCTCAGAAGAGGGCAGGCATGTGTGTGCCACAGCTCATGTGTGGAGGTCAGAGAACAACTTTTAGGAATCAGCTCTCTCCTTCCACTTTAGTTTTGAGACGAGTCTTATTTCTGCCACTTCACTTCTGTGTCTGGCTGATTCTCCTTGTCCCTGCTTCCCACTTCTCTGTAGGAGGCCAGGCTGGGGTTACAGATGGCAAACCACTATCGTTTTTTTCACCTGGTACTGGGCATCACACTCAGGGCACCCAGAGTTTCCAGGCAAGTGCTTTTACCTGCTGAGCCATCTTTCCAGCCCCGTATTTTCTTTCTAAATTGTGTGTATTGAGGTAAATCTAAAGAGTGAACTTTTTTCCTATGGAGATGTGCTGTCTCCTTACCCTGTCAAGTTCTCAGGCCCAGGGACATTGGTGGCTCACAGTGTAACTCTAGCTCCAGGGGAATCTGATATCACTGGCCTCTGTGGCATCAGCACTACCAACATGCACATAATTTAAAAAAATAAGCTGGGTGGTAGTGGTACACACTTTTAATCTGGGAGGCAGAGGCAGGTGGATCCTAGTTCAAAGCCAGCCTGGTCTACAGAGTGAGTTCTAGGACAGCCAGGACTACACAGAGGAACCCTGTATTGAAAAACAAACAAATAAATAAGAAGAGTCTGATCAGCTGTCAAAAACATTGACTGTTCTTCCAGAGGATCTGGGTTTGACCAGGTCACCAACACCAACAACAACAGGGCAGCTCACAAACATCTGTAACTCCAGTCTCAGGGATCTAAGCCTCTTCTGGCCTCCATAGGTACAAGGCATGCATGTGGTACATGGACATTACTGCAGACAAAATACCCATAAACATTAAAAACAAAATAATAATAATAACAAATCTTTATTTTTTTAAAAAAAAATGCTAACTGTGAAGTTTTCCTTTTGTGCCTTGTTTTGTTTTGAAGGGCTTGAAATATTTTATTCAGATATTGAATGGTAGGAAAGGGGCTGAAGAGATCCAGGAGATCTGATGGAATCAACAGTGGGATCTTCCAGGTCTCTTTTTTTATTGTTGTTTTAATTTACACTTACTTTACATGCATTGGTGTGAAGGTGTCAGATCCCCTGGAACTGGAGTTACAGATAATTGTGAGCTGTGGTGTAGGTGCTAGGAATTGAACCTGGGTCCTCTGGAAGAGCAGCCAGTGCTCTTAACTGCTGAGCCATCTCTCCACACCCCCTGGGGCCTCTTTTTGTTTTTTTGAGACAGGGTTTCTCTGTTGCTTTGGAGCCTATCCTGGAACCAGCTGGCCTCCAACTCACAGAGATCAGTCTGTCTCTGCCTCCCGAGTGCTGGGATTAAAGGCATGTGCTGCCAACACCCAGCTTGGTTTTGTTTTTTTGAGGCAGGATTTCTCTGGGTAGTCCTAGCTGTTCTGGTACTTGCTCTGTAAACCAGGCTGACTTCGAACTCAGAGAGATTCTCCTGCCTTTGGCTTTCAGGTGCTAGGATTAAAGGTGTGTACCACTACCACCTGGCTATAAGAATAGAATCTTAAAAAAGAAAGTTGTCTAAAAATGTAAACATATATGCAAAAGAAAAAGATTTCACAGAGATAAGAGTATCAGCGTGGCTCCTTGAGTATGGAGATTGATAACAACTTGAATCTTATATTTAGTTTTTTTTAAATCTTTTTATGAAAAGTATGCAGACTTAAAAAAAACAACTGCTTCCTGGGGGCTACAGAGATGGCTCCCCAGTTAGGAGCACTGACTGCTTTTCCAGAGGGCCCAGGTTCAATTCCCAGCACCCACATGGCAGCTCACAACTGTCTCTAACTCCAAGATTTGACACTCTCATACAGACATACATGCAGGCAAAACACCAATGCAAATAAAATAAAATAAACTATTTTTTTTAAAAAGCTGCTCCCTAAGCAGGAAGAAAAAAAAAAATTAACAGCGAAGATCTGTCTGTATAACTTCTAGGAAGGAGAGTGTCGGGACAGGAAACAGCTCAGTAAGAACAGCAATTTGTCTTCTACAAGAGCAGTGTTTGCTCTTGGCTGCTGAGCCATTCTCCAGCCCCCACAGCCAGCACTCATGCATAACTCTGTACACCATATTTCCTGCCTTTTTTGTTTAGAGACAAGGTCTTTGTACATAGCCCTTTGTAAACCAAGTTGGCCTCAGATTCACAGAGATCCACCTGCTTCTGCCTCCTGAGTGCCGGAGGTTAGGGGTATAATTATTGGCTCAGGGCTACCTGTTACTTTTATGTGTTTGACATGGTGTCTCACTGGGCTGCTCAGGCTGGCCTCAAACTCCTAGATTGAAGTAGTAGTCCTCTTTCAACCTCCCGAGGGGCTGTGGCTACAGACACGCATCACCACATTCAACGGCATGTATTTTAAATGTCTAGATAGGTCATTGCCCAATTTTGAGGAAATAGTATACTAGTCTATGCACCTGCAACCAGTGTGAATGAATCTGTTTCCCTGCTCTTTTATTCAAGTGCAAGGTCCTGGACCTGCTTTTCTTGGTTTCTGAGCTTTTGGGTGTTTGTGGATACTTGGGTGCCAGTCTCTGGCATGGTCTGTAGGGAAAGAGCCACTGTCATCAGGAGGTTGTGGCTGTGTTGCTTAAGACTAGTTCCAGAGTGGGACTCCTTATCCAAACCTCCCTTCCCCCCCCCCCCCCACAGAGGCACACTCCAGCCACCAAGGGTTGAGTGCACTGGTCTCAGATGCCTGTGGCAGGCCCTAGCCTGGCACTGGCTCCGCTTTAGGAAAGAGTGTACACAGGTGCCCTATGGCTTTGTGTCAGGCCCAAAGCACTAAGACTTTGTGGAAAGCTGGGTGCCGATCAGGAGCCTTGGCTTGTAGCTCTAGATTCAGGTATATGTTATAACATCTGGGAGAGTCAGAGACCTCAGATTTCTTGTGTGTACCGCGAAGTGGTAGGAACAGGTGTCCTCTGTACTACCATCATGGATCTATGTCCCTTTCTGCAGGTGACCAACCACCTGACCCGAGACAGGGATGGTAGGAGGTTCAAACCTGCTCTGGGACGTTCCTGGAGCTTTGTGCCCAGTACCCGGATTCTCCTGGATGTCATCAAAGGGGCTGGAACATTAGGTAGAGGCCAACGCACAGTGTGTCTGACCAAGTCTCCCCGCCAGGTGAGCCGACCTGGGAGACACCAGGGAGCTTGGACCCTGGAGAGGGTGGTTCCCATGTCCACTGCTACGTCATTGAAGGATTCTTTGATGCTGAAACCCTGAAACAAAAGCTGACCACTAAGATTGCTTAATTCTACCCACTCCCCCTCCCTCCCATCTCTCCTTCTAGCCAACAGGTTTGCAGGAAGTGATCGACATCGGGACACTGGGGACTGAGGAGCAGAGCCCAGAATTGCCTGCCAAACAGACGTGACACAGTTGATTGGGAAAGGGACAGCTTCAAGGCCCTCACAGCATTCTTTCCCAGTCAGCTGCTGACCAGTGTCACATGGGGACCTGGCCGTGCAGACGTCTCAGGTTTGTCAGAAGACAAGCCTCAGTTTCCTCAGCTTCACTGTGTGGGATCTCGTGGAGCCACTGGCCCCAGGATGCTGCAGTCTGTGTGGGGGTGGGGGTGGACGAGGACCTAGAAGTCCATTGTAGTCTGTCGTGCCCTCAAGTTTTCTTCTGTTGTGTCCACTGTATGTTTCCAGTGGAGGCCAAGGTCAACCTACCTTGGGACGCCAAACACAACAGTGACTGGATGAATAGCTTCCTGGCCTTGTGTGTCACCATCCCTCACACAGTAATCGAGCCAGGAAGCCTTTGTTCCACCCACTCCCATTTTATTTTGGCCTCTGTTTTCCCACCTGCAAGATGGGACTTCCTTTGTCTCTGAATTACTCATAGAAACAACCTCGAAATGTAAAGCTCTTTATGTATGCTCCACTCTTAAAAATATAGAAAGAGGAAGTCCTCTGAGCCCTAGAGCCACCTGATTTCCCCCAAGAAGGTTGATTTTCAGGTCTTGGGGTGGGACTCCCAGAGAATGAGAGTTTGTCCCTGCTTGCTGACTGGGTTTCACACACCTGCATACATCATCCTGATAGGTGAGAACATGAGCTCGATGCTGTCCCAGGGATATAATTTACCGGAGAGGGAGGATATGACCTGCTCCCGGTGAACCAGACACTTGTTTCATATGCATGGTGCCCTGTGGGGCTCTTCCTCAGTATAGAGTAACCAGAGGTGCTGAACCGTGGCCTAACCTATAAACAGACAGAGGAGAATTTGCACAGTAAATATAAGCAGCTGGGAAAATTGATGCCAGCATAAATAATACATGGCAAATCTAGTCTTTTATACAGAAATTCATTGCTGGTGGCTCTAAGATGCAGTATAATTACACCTCTCATTCTGCCAGCTGTACCACAGCCTCGTCATGTCTCAGTGAATAAAATAACACCCTGTCTGTTACCAACACTGTGGCCGTCCATCTGAGAGTCGTAACTCTGGCTGAGAGGGGAGGATGGTACCAGAGAGTGGAAAGTAAAAGGCAGAGTAAAGAAATGATCAGGATTGTTTATGGACCACATTTTTTATGGGAAGGTCACGCTTGGTTAGAGAGCCTGTTGTGTAATTAGCTGTGTCTTAGCTTCAGGAAAGGGGGACCAGAGTTACAAGCTCTCATATTTAGGGCCAGTGAGATGGCTCAGCAGATAAAGGTGCTTGCTTCCAAGCCTGACAACCCGAGTTAAATCCCTGGGTCCACCATGATGGAAAGAGAGAACTGACTCCTGCAAGTTGTCCTTTGACCTCCATACATGCGGTGACATATGTATGCTCCCTTGCGCATGCTAATAAAAATGTAATTAAAAAAAGAAAATATGCTAGGCATTATGATACGTGCATATAATCCTAGTACTTGAAAGGCAGAGGAGGCGGATCTTTGTAAGTTCAAGGCCAGCCTGGTCTATCGACCTAGGTCCAGGACAGGCTCAAAAGCAACACAGAGAAGCCCTGTCTCGAAAAACCAAAAAGGAAACAAACAAACAAAAATCAGAAAATATGACCCTTATTTATGGGTGATAGGTATAGCAGGATCAAAGCAAGCCTGAAGGGTGGAGAATGAGTGACAAGTGGCATAAGGGTGTCTGTGTGATGATAACATGGGTGAACCTAAACCATGACACTTTCATGGGAGACAACAGTCTGGTATCTGCACCATGGGTGGTCAGTTGGGAGGTTCCTGCAACCCTAGTGAGAAGCAATACATTAAACCAGGAAAAGCAAATTCCTGCTTTCTGAGACTGGTGGGAATCTATGTATTATTGAAGCTGCTTTCCATAGCAAGAAACAAAATCCCACTTAGAGAGACATCAATGATAAGAAAGATTACTTACCCCTGATAAGATGAAGCCCAGTTTGGTTGAAGCTGAGGGCCTCTCCATCTCTGTCCTCGATTCTCTGTGTTGGTTTTGTCTTCAAGCTTGTTGCCGTCATTAAAACCTGGCTGTACACTCTGAACATTGATCCAGACGTGACAATATCTAACGGGCAGGGTCGGGATCATCTTGTGTCCTTTGAAGAACAGGGAAAACTTGAGCTTCCTCCAAATGCCTGATGACCTGCTCCATATTGGAATTGGCAAGTGCACTGTGTCTAGTTCAGTAGGTGGAAAAGGATACGGTGCCTCAGTGGTAGGCTCAGACCAAACAAGAAACAGCTGTGGAGTGGGACTTGGGTTTAGCTCTCTTGAGGCACCTGCTGTGGTACTACTAGAAAATGGACTGTGGTGGGGGAGGGGTGTGGAGTTAGAGAGTAGGTGGCCCTATTGTGTCTAGAGGCGACTCTATCAAGGCTTCTGTGTGTGTGTGTGTGTGCGCGCGCGCGCGCGCGTGCTCGTGCGCGTTCAGTGCTTACTTAGCACAGGACTCACGGTTGTCTTAAGACAAGCTGAGTGGCACTGACAATTACTTCCTCTTACAGCCTAAATGGAGCTCATTGGGGTTTTAGAACATGTATCTATTAAGCGACAGCATGGGAGTCTAAACTTGAATCCATTTTATGCCAGGCTTTCTTCTTTTCAACCCCATGCTGCCTTCAGCTGTAAATATGTAAGTATTTTAACAAAATTCTCCTTCATGTTTTGCCCCAACAGCCAAGGCTGCACATCTCAACCCCTTTTGAGCTGAGCTCACTATAAACAGATCCACTTTATCAGCTTTTTCTGACTTCCCCCAGGGAAGAGGGAATGACAAACACTCCAGAGAAGGCAGATAGCGAGTGTGTACAAGAGAACTGGAGGGTTAGAGGGGATAAAGCTGAATGAAAAGCAGCAGGCACTGAGCATGCCTAAGATGGGAGCCACCAGGAGATAAGGGATTTATATGCACACATAGCCTGCTAGGCTTTCACTGTCTTGTGGTGTGGAGGTGTCTGGGTAGAGTTTCAGCTGTCCAGTTCTCTATGTTGGTGATGTATACAGCTGAAATTAGAATGAGGTATATTATTCCATATAAATATATGGATATATCTACACACATTGTGATGGTTTGAATAAGAATGGCCCCCATAGGCTCATATATTTAAATGCTTAGTTATTAGGGAAAGATACTATTTGAGAAGGATTAGGAGCTGTGGCCTTGTTGGGATAGGTGTGGCCTTGTTGAGGGAAGTGTGTCACTGGGGTGGGCTTTGAAGTTTCAAAAGCCCATGCCAGGCCCAGAATCTCTTCCTGCTGCTTGTGGTTCCAGATGTAGAACTCTCAGCTACTTCTTTAGCATCATGTCTGACCATGTGCTGCCATGCTCCTCACCGCCATTATGATGATGGATTAAATAAACCTCTGAAACTGTAAGCAAGCCCACAGATAAATGTTTTCTTTCATAAGAGTTGCTTTAGGCCAGGTATTGGTGTCGCATGCCTTTAATCCCAGCACTGGGGAGGCAGAGGCAGGCAGATCTCTGTGAGTCCAAGGTAAGCTGGTCTACAGAGCAAGTTCCAGGACAGGCTCCAAAGCAATACACAGAAACCTTGTCTCAAAAAAAAAAAAAAAAAAAGCTTTAGTCCTGTTGGGCATGGTGGCACACACCTTTAATGCCAGCACTCAGGAGGCATAGGCAGGCAGATCTCTGTGAGTTTGAGACCCGCTTGGTTGAGAGTTCCAGGACAGCTAGAGCTGTTTCTCAAAGAAAGCTTGGCTTAAAAAACAAGCAAACAAACAAACAAACAAAAAAAAAAGCAAAAGCAAAAAAGCCCAAAAGAGTTACTTTGGTCATAGTGTCTCCTTATACCAATAGAAAAATGACCAAGACATACATACATGCATGCATGCATACATACATACATACAATTTTTTAATTTAATTTTTTTGAGGAAGGTTGTCTGACCCTGTGAGACCTTGAACCTTCAATCCTCATGTTTTAGAGTCCAGAGTGCTGGGATTATATATCTGTGGCAATTCAACAGGATGCTTTGGTTGTTGTTGGTTGGTTTGATTGATTTTAGTTTTTAAAAGATTTATTTGTTTTATGTATATAAGTGTTTTGCCTGCATGTGAATATGTGTACCATGTGTGTTCCTGGTGCCTACGATAGTCAGAAGAAGGTGCTGGATCCCCTAGAACTGGAGTTACAGATAGTTGTGAGTCACCATGTAGACCAGGAAACTGAACCCAGGTCTTCTGCAGGCATATCAAATGCTCTTAATTACTGAGCCATGTCTCCAGTACCTTGTGTTTGAAATATTCTTTTACACTGTGTGAAGATGTGTCACTGTGATTGGTTTAATAAAGAGCTGGATGGTCAATAGCTAAGCAGGAGGTATAGGTAAGTCTTCTGGACAGAGAGCATTGGGAAGAAGAAAGGTGGAGTCACCAGCCAGACATTGAAGGAGGAGAAGGATGGGTATTACAGAGTAAAGGTAGCCAAGCCACACATAAGTTACTTTCCATTTATTTATTTATTTATTCATTCATTTATTTGTGTATGTGTGTGTGAGAGCTGGTGGCCCTAAGAAAAATCCATCTATACCCTTGTCTTTTGCTTTTTTTGTGTTTTGTTTGTTTTTTTCGAGACAGGGTTTCTCTGTATTGTTTTGGAGCCTGTCCTGGAACTAGCTCTGTAGACCAGCTTACCTTGGACTCACAGAGATTCACCTGCCTCTGCCTCCCCAGTGCTAGGTCTACAGGTGTGTGCCACCAATGACTGGGTATATACTTGTCTTTAATGAGAGCAAGGTATATTATCAGCCAGGTGTAGTTCAGTGGTAGAGCTCTGTCTGGCATGTCTAAACTCCTGGTTTTGATTGCCAGTACACCAGTTTTGCACACAGAGACAAACACATTCACCATTAATGCTTCTCTCCCTTTCTCCCTCTCTAAAGGAATGAGATTTTGACATCTCAACTAACTGGTCTCAGCTCTTTGCTTGCTATCTGATACTAAAGGAAGAACTTGGCTCTTTTAAGCCTTAGTTTTATCCACTGTATAATGAGAAAAATATTGCTTGCTCCATAGACTTCTTGTAGGGTTATTTAGCTTACCAAGCTTCCCATATGCCTTATGGCAAGTATTGAGTGCCTTTCCAGGATATAGTAGGGCTCCAGTCTTACCCTGGAGGTTCATGATGCCTGGGAGATGCTGGTCAGGACCTTCTGTCCAGACAGGATGAGCTTCATGTTAGTGTGACTAATGCAGTCAGTCACACAGGACTGTTGGTTTAGAAGAATGGAATGTTGGATTTTGACCAAGCATCCATGTAGTGCTTACACTTTATGTAGCCAGTTGTCTTAGTTTTTTTTTTTAATTGCTGTGAAGAAACACATAACCACAGCTACTCTTATAAAGGAAAACATTTGTTTGGGGTAGCTTGCTTACAGTTCAGAGATTTAGTTCATTATGTTCATGGGGGATGGGGGGAAGCAAGGCAGCATGTGGACAGACATAGTGCTAGAGCAGGAGCTGGGAGTTCTTACATCTTGACTCAAGGCAACAGGAAGTGGTCTGTCTCACTGGGTGTAGCTTGAGCATAGGAGACTTCAAAGCCCACCCCACAGTGACATTCTTCCTTCAACAAGGCCACACTTTCTGCAACAAGGCCACACCTCCCATTAGTGCCACTCCCTTTGGAGGCCATTTTTCTTTTAAACCACTGCATTCCACTCACTGCCTCCAAAGGCTTGTGATAATATTATAATGCAAAAATGCATTCAGTCCAACTTCAAAAGTCCCCATAGTCTATAATAGTCTCAAACTTATTTAAACGTCTAAAGTTCAAAGTCTCTCCTGAGATTTACGCAATCGCTTTACTGTAGTCCCCTGTAAAATAAAAATTAAAAAGTAGATCACATACTTCCAACATATAATGGCATAGGATATATATTATCATTTCACAACATTGGAAGGGAACATAGTGAGGAAATATTGGACCAAAGCGAGATTGAATACTAGCTGGGCAGACTCCAAATTCTATATCTCCA